GGGCTCTCCCTGGGACAGGCGCTCAGCTCTGTGTCCTGGCAGAACTGCCGGACTATGTGCTCTCTGCAGCTGTGCCTGTGCTCTGTGCCCCGAGGAGCAGGGTCAGTCCCCAGCCCAGACCAATTCCCGAGGAGCTGCCCGCCTGCGCTCCCCACWCAGCACCATCCACTTGTTTTGATGCTCAGGGCTTTCCTGAGTCTGCCTGGGGCAAGAAGGACCTCATTGGTGAGGATTTAGGGACTCTGCTCAGGCAGGGGTTTTTCTTCTGGCTCCTTATCCTGATCTATCAACTCTTGTTTTATCASCCTCATCCCCTTGGGAGGAAATGCAGCTGCCTGGAGCCACCTGCAGCCTCTGACTCGTGCTCCAGGAGACAAAGGCGCTGTCCCTGGGCTCCAAAGTCCCTGTCCCTGGAGGGATTTAAAGCTGTGTGAATGTGGTATTTGGGGACATGAGACAGTGGTGGCCTTGAACAGTGCTGGGGAACATTTGGACTTGATGATCTCAGAGTGCTCTTCCAACCTGAACAATTCCATGATTCTGTGCTCCTTCCCGAGGATGCTGCTGCCGCCAACATCCCCCTGTGTGTTCGGCAGGGGGGGTCCCCAGGAGCCAGGGCTGTCCTTGTCCCTGCTAACTCCTCCTGGGGGGTGCTGTGAGCCCAGAGGGAGGGGGCAAATCCAGCAGCACCTCTTTTAAAGCTTYCCCACTCCCTCTGACCTTGAAAAAGCCATTTTCACCTTGCTGTACCTCAGCCAAGGCTGCTGCTTGCGATGGGTTGTGGGGGAAGCAACTCTGCCAGGGGGAAAGGGGGGAAGTTCATTGTTTTTACAGCTTTTCCTTTGCTTCCTTTGCTTCCCTTTCCTACCTCACTAAAAAAAAAAAAAAAAAAAAAAAAAAAAAAAAAAAAAAAAAAAAAAAAAAAACATAACCAAAAAAAAAAAAAAAAAAAAAAAAAAAAAAAAAAAAACAAAAAAAACCAAAAACACCAACCACCCAAAAAAAACCCTTAAATTCAGAGTTTAAATATAATGTGCATTCTAGTCTGAGGCTTGTGAGAGCATCACGTGTGGCTGTTTATCTCCTAAGGCAGAGGCAGTGTGTGAACGTCAGGAAACCGCCACCGGAACCCCCTGGCCTCAGCTCATCCAAGCTCTGGGGACCACACCCGGCAATTCCCACTTGCAGGAGGCTCCCTCCCTCCTCCTGCCACCTTGAGGATATTCCTGCCGGATACATAAGCAGCAAAAAGAGTTTGCTAGTCCGGGAAGCCGCGGTTTGGGGGTGTCTCCTGTGTTAAACAGTGGATTTTCACCAGCTTTGCAGGAATTGAGCTCTTCTGCTGCTGTCAGATCAGCAGACTGGGGAGGAGTTAAGGAGGGGAAGCAGCTCTTTGGAGGCACAGAAAGGTTTTGGTTTTGCCTGGCACAAGGCTCTGAAAGAGCAGGGAGTGCTGGCACTGCTGGGTGCGGGACCAGACAGGGAACAGGGGGAACGTCAGCATCAGCCACAGACAGCTAATCCTGTCCGTGCCAGCCTGAGCCCAGCTGGCTCCTGCAGCCAAGGACTACAGCAGAATAACCCTGCTCATCTGTGCCCCTGCATCCCAAAGTAGCCCCTGGGAGCACAGCCTGTCCTGGCAGATTTGGGTTCTTGCATGCAGCCCCTCATTCTGCAGCTCTCTTCAAACACGRGCAGGATTCCCCTTTGCAGTGGGATTTAAGCAGCCTGAGTGGGCACTGGTGGGCAGTTTGGTGGGTCCCGAGTTACTGAGGGAGGCRGATGGGCAAGCAGCACACAGCCTGATTTGTTTTGAAATAAGGGCTAAAAGAACTCCAGACAATCCCAGAGGGTGCTGAGGTTTGGGAGACAAGCAGGAAGTGACACAGGGATGGGAATTTGAGCTCTGTGCCTGGGTGGAGTGGTGAGGCTGTGACAGAGAGCACTCTCTGCTTTTAGCTGGTGAGGATGAGGAGGAGAAAGAGGCTGAAGAGGAGGAATTTGAGCCGTGGGACTGGGCTGTGTGCCCATCTCTGGTCTGGGAAGGAATGTCAAACCCCAGCCTGCTGTTTGGGGARTCTGGGGAGAAGGGAAACACAGCTGGCACAAAATTACCCTGAGGTGCAGCATTTCAGTGTCCTCCCTGCACTGTGCAGAGCTTCTCCTTGGCAAATCAGTTTGCCATTCCTTCGCTCACTGCTAGGGATCATCTCACCTGGAAATACMTTATCCTGGTGGGGAGAGCTCCTTTTTCCTGTGCTCTACACACAGGCATCCCGATTTATCAGGCTGGCCCCTCCCAGGTTTTTTTTTATCCCAGTGTGTCCCCCCCACTTTGTTGCTGTGTTTCCTGGAACTGCTGCAAATCCAGGCAGGATTTGGAGCAAAACAAATGGAGCAGCAGAGGGGTCAGAGCCACAGGGACTGCTCTGAACTGCTGAGCCAGCTCAGCCCCAAATGACAGCGGACACGCAGATGCAGCKGGGCTGCCTTTACCACCCTGCGGCCCCTCCTTGGCATCCTGCTCCTCCGGATCGCAGCCCTTCCCTCTGGATTGGAGCGCCCTCTCTCCCCGCCCTGCTCTCCATCTTCATGCAGTCTGCAGAGGTGCATTGTGGGAAACTCCCAAGTTCCCCCACCCCCACCCCCTCTGCCTGCCTCCCTCCCTCCTCTCTGCGCAAGAGCCAGCTCCCAAGGTGTGACTCGTCCAGCCGGAGGACAGAGGTAAGGGACACCGCTGGSATGGGGGGAATCGGGGCGGAGGGGCCGGGGTTCCCGGCTCCGGGATGTGCGGATGCTCTGCGCAGGGTGAGCCAGCGAAATGGAGACCTGCCCAAGGTGAGTGTCCATCTCCTCGCAGCCGCCTGGGACGGAGGCCGGGGGTTACCTCCAGAGCCGGCACCCCGCAGCTATCCCTGCTAGAGGCAAAAAGTGCTTTTCTGACCCCAAACGAGGAGCACGGCGGGGACGGCCCGCCCCGAGTGGCTCCATCCCGTCCCAGCTCCCGTGGTTTGCTCYCTGAAGGTCAGGCAGCCCCAGAAGGTGTTTCTGCAGACGCGCTGGAGCCTCCTGCCCGTAGCTGCAGCCTCCTCTGCTGTCCTGGCGGCCCGAGCGGAGCCCTGCAGCCTGATCCGAGCCGGGCCGGCGGGGAGGAGAGGAGAAGAAAGGAGAAGAGAGGAGAGGAGAGGCCCTGGGTGCCGCAGCAGCGCTCCGGAGGCAGGAGGGGGACGGGGGAYGGGGAAGCGGAGCCGGAGATGTGCCGGAAACACGGCTGCTGGGAGGGACCAGGGGGAGCAGCATCCCGAGCTGAGCCCCTCCAGCCCTGGCAGGACCTCTCCGAAAGGTTTTGAGCCSTTTTCTAGCTGTTTTTTCCCCTCCYGTCTGCGTGGATTATGGGATTTGTTTGCCCTTTGCTCTGCCTGCGTGGATTTAATGAYCGTGTTTAACTCTGTCAGTCCTGAGGCAGGAAAAGCTGGCAGCTTGGTTCAGCTTTCACCTTTTCTGAGGAAAGGGGGTTGTTTTGTTAGGCAGGGGSAATTTGATATCACTTAGGGGGTGTATCCTATGACTTGACCCTCGGCTTGTGCTGGGAAGGAGCTCACAAAGGGAAATCAACCCCAAAAAACCCAGAAGGGAGAAAGATGTCAGAGGCAATAGTGTCTGTTTTAAGGGAGAATATTGCAGCGAAGGGATGGGAGGGGGGTGGGTGTCAGACCAGGGCTCCTGAGTCACGCTGTGTGCTTCCAGGGCAGGAATGCTGTGTGCTTCCAGGGCAGGAATGCTGTGTGTTTCCAGGGAATGAATGCTTCGGGAATGTCTCAGGCTGATGTCCCCGCTCTCTGCGCATCCCTGTGCATCCCTGCGATGTGTGTTTTCAGGGACCTGTTGATTTGCTCCTGTTTACTTCTCTGTCCCTCTGGCGGCTTCTGGGGAGGGGCGAGGKGGAAAGAGGAGGATTTTTAAAATGGAATCGAGATCAGCCTGGCAAAACTTGGGTATTGGGACAAGAGGAGGAAACCTCGCTGCTGCAGCCCCGTTTTCCTGGGTGGGGCTTGGGCAGGATGCTGTCAGGAGAGGGAGGATGGACTATGCTGGATTAAGCTCCATGCTCCATCTCAGGACTGACCTCCAAAAGTCTGACCTTCACAGCTTTGACCTTCAGCATTTTCCATTCTGTCCTTTCTCAGCCACGGTGCCCAACACCAACATCTTAACCCTGTGATATTGTGGTAGGGTGGGGGAAGAAATCCCAGGTCTCCCCTAAATCCCAGCACTTCTGCTGCATCCATCCTCTCCCCTGGTGGGCTGCTGGGATGGAGGGCTGCAGAGCACCCTGGCACAGTGTCCCCATCCTGGATCAGGTGTCAGGGCTGGCAGATGGGGCAGAGGGAGGGATGCAACTCCCTGAGCTGCAGTTTCCATGCTGGTGGAGTTTTGGCCGTCCTTCCTCAGATGCTTCCCAGCTTTCTGCCGGGAAGGAGAGTGCTCTGGTTTTGCTGCACGAGGTGAGGGATGGGTTTTACCCCAGAGAGTGTCGGGAGCTCCCTTGGAAGGTCACTGCCTCATGTGGAATTGGCCCTTTGTCTGCCTGCAGTGGCTTCTTACATTTCAGCTGCAGAGCAACAGTTTTCAGGCTGACGCCTGCAGRTCCAGGGGCTGCCAGATTCCAGACCCAATTCTGCATGTCAGGAATTGCTTCCAGAATCTTTTTGCTGGCTCCAGCTGAGCCACAAAGGGGGTGATGCTGCATCAGGCAGAAGGGATGGATTTAAGATGCCAATTAATTGCGGAGAGGTGTTAAATTTGCTCCTGCTTCCTGCAGTGGTTGGGGCTATTTCAGTGTGTCACATGGATCCATCACCCTTTTTTGCTTGTGAAAATTGAATTTGKGATACAGGACTGTGAGGAAGAAGCCTTTAAAAGCTCTATCAGAAAGATAAAAAAAGATCTATTCAGAAAGAATCAGTCTCCTGAAGTTTGGGATCAGCTGCCTGGGAGCTRCACCCTAATTTGGAATCATCTGCCATCTTCCCAAAGGCTTTTCCCAAATGCTGGGTAAGGAGCAGGGCTTTGTAGTGGGAAGCAATGACTGTTCACCCTTTTCCAAGAGGCAGGGAATGCTTGCTGACCCTGTCACATTATCCCTGAGCTGGCACCACAGACCCARAGCAGAGCAGACAACTGAGAGGAGCCCCATGGCCCCAGCCAGGATGTTGCTGGCATTGAATTTTTGTCTCTGTGAGGGCTGGAAAAAGCATTATAAAGAAATGAACTGAGTGTGTTTGCAAAAGTCAAGACATGAGGAGGTACCCAGGGTGGGGTGCAGGATACTCACAGATCCCTGTGAGGTGTCACACTCAGGAGTTGAGGCTCCAGGATTCCCGTTGCTGAGGTGTTTCCCAAAGCATTCCCTGTTACTGCTCCGGTGCTTCAATCCAGTGTCCTGA